AATTTTAAAGGTGTAGGACAGGAAAATAGGCTTCTACTTTCTTAATATAAAGATAATTTTTTCTCTCCTCTATGCTTTTTTCAGGGAACAAGAGATATGGTATGTGCCAGAAGGAAGCCTGTTAGGGCTGGAGTATTCAACAGACTGGATCTTTAAGTGTTTATGACCTCTAAAGGACCATAATCATGGTCCTTCTTATTCTATGGAACAGTAAATTGGTCATTTTACTCAGTGTGTAAGCACAGAGCAGGCTAAGACTGGTCTGAGTCTGTGTGTGGGTGTTTGCACTGACCAAGAGATTATCCATTGCAAAATTTGGTGTGCATTTGCTGTGCATTTGAATAGCTTTACAGCACTATAATTTATACTTATTTTTACTAAGTGCTTGAGCTACTGTTCATTGTGTGCTACGAGGGCTGACTTATACTCAGTGTGCAGGTAGGTTGTAAAGTTTTACTCTGATGTAAACCCTGGGAACCATTTGTTCCCCTGTGGTAGAGAAAGCATTATGGTGAGAAATTCAGGCATGCCAGAAAAAATTACGGACTTACAGACCCAAATGAAGCCTGTGTTTCAGTACTTAAGTGCCTGGATTCCCACTGAGCCCAGCCAGAGATCCATACACATTAGCACCTCTACAAGGATATATTTGAAAGGCATTAATTGTGCTTTTAAAATGCAATTTTGATACAATGCCAACAGAAGATGCAAATAGCTATAGATGCACAGTAGTGGGATAAATCTTGGAAAGCTTTAGAGAATCCTAGGGCCATTCCAAAAACTGAAAACTCTTCTAGCAAGAGATCACCACTGCTGTAGTTTCCATACTTTGCAGCATGTGATTGGCTTGTGTGGGATCTACCAATATAGTGAAGAAATAGAGAAATGTCAAAATGGATTCTTTCATTTTGGTGATGAAGTGCTTGCTCTGCTTGCCAGCACTCAGGGTTCAATAAAAGCAGACAGGTCTTCAAAAAATAGCAGCATAAATAGATGAACTCTTTAAAGTAATATAAGTTCTGTCATCTGGATGTGAAATATAGACCTAAGTGCCCGCTGAAGTAAAAGCTGACCACACATTCCACAGAGAAGTGTTAAAAGTTTTCTCGGAGTGTCTTGGGCTGAGAAATGTTTTAACTACATCTCTCCTTGCCACAACACAGAGAATGGAAGCATTTGAAGTTAAACCCATTTTTCAAAAGAAGAAAACAAAGCATCCATAAAGAAACAAAGGCATAGCACAGGATGAGGTCTCTAGGTAGCCACTGCTTTCAGGGAAGCTGCAATTAGCTGTGCCAGGGAGAAGGTGAGGTTACTTGTATCTAAATAGCATTTATAATGATTTCAGGAGCTAAAATGCTGATAGGTACGGGCAGGGAGCTGATTTCAAGATTTCCTTGTGAGACACAAGGTCAGGATTCCTGTGGTCTCCTGTCATATTTAATTCATATCCTCTGGCCTTCTCCACCATGTTTATTGAATTACAGGAATAAAATTCAATGAACCAAAAACAAAAGAAGAGAGAGAGGACATGGCAAGTCCCACTTTCTTTTATGTCCCTCCTGCACACCTGGGTTCAGTGGACTTACAGGAGAACATGTTGGAGCAGAATTTGGAAGGAGGGGGAGGTACAAGTTAGTATAACCCCTCTCACCATCCCCATAATTGCATCCAGATAATTTATTGCAAGCAGCAGCCATTTCCACATGGGAGTGAGGATCCAATTTCTATCATTCAAGACTCTCCCCTGGTGCTTTTTAGGGCTGATCTGTGCACTCCCTGTGTGTGTCTGCCAGGTTCCTTCTGGTCACAAGCGAGATGGCAGCAGAACAGCTTTACAAAACCATTTTTCAGAAGAGCATTCTGGCAATTCATCACTTCAGTGCTAAGAGGAAACCCTCAAATATGTTAAAAGTCCCAGTTGGAGGGAAGTGCCCTCTTGGTGTGCCTGTAATGAGGATTCCCTGCAATCATCCGAGTTAAACTGATACAGCCTTTATCCTCCTTTACAAGTGGGATGCAGGAAGCAAAGCATTCCCAACAGGCCTGTGGAGCAATGGGGAATAGGTCTGTGATTCTGGGGAGAATTTTCTTGTGTCTCCTCTACCATTATCCTGTTTTCATTGCCCTGTATGCTGCCTCCAAGAACTGCCTGGTTTGGGTCGTGGATCCCTCAGCCAAATCCACACCCAGTTCTGCAAGGTGGTTCAGAACCCACAGAGGTAAACAGAGCCATCTCTCCATGCTGTGGGGGGATCACAGCAGCACCTCACACAAATACCCTGACACCCAGTAACAGTTTTACAACTTTGTCATTTGGGTTGGGAGCCAGACATATGCAAATCTGGCTCTTCAGTCTGACCCAAAACATTCACAGAAAAAATAAGACAGGAGATCTTTTGAAATTCTATCCTGAACTGCAAGCTCACCACTATTTAGCTTGGGCATTTTAATTTTTGGAAATGTCACAGCTAATAAATAATGTATTTTCTTTAAGCTACCATATACATTTTTATTTTCCAACTTGAATCTGTTTAAATTTCTAACAATCAAGTGCTCTCCTCACGTACATGGCAGCCTATGGGATGGCTGCCTTTTCACTTAATACATTTAATAAAGGTGACCAGATGCTTTGTGTTTTTAATGGCTTGTTCTGCATCCCAACAAAATGTCCCTGTTTTGGCTGCGAGAGCAGATGATTCATCCTGAAACCCAGCCCAGCTGCCCTGACACAGGCAGGGTGAGTTAAAAACCCACCATCTGTGCTGGAGTGGGCAGGAGGAGTGCTTTGTCAGGAAAACACTGTCCTTCCTTGGGCACTGCATATTCCAGGCAGCCAGTAATCCTAAAGTCCTGTGGGTCCACCCCCTGTGCCTTTGCAGATAAATTCAGCAGTTATATCCCATTTCCACCATTTTTATTTCCTTTCCCCCTTCCTGAGAATCCCCCCAGACTGCTCTGCTCTAGGGTCACGAGTAGATCAAACATTGCTGTAAAATGTAAGATGTTGCTCCTGGTTTTATTCTTTCCAATAATGTGGCAAAATTCCTGCCCATGTGGCTGCCTCGGCTTAGCCTCATACTTGAAAAAGCAAGAGGGATTCATTTCTGGCTTTTGTGAATAATTAGCTGTGCCCAGCTCTGCGTTAGCAGCACTGCACTGCCAGCTCTGCCAGAGGACACATCCTGAGCTCCCAACTCTCCCCGTTCAAGGGCAAAGCTCGACCCCAGGCAAAGCTCCCCTGCTGCCTCAGCAAGAGCCAGGCAGGAATATCTGAAGGGAACGGCTGGCTTGGAGTGTGTCACTGGGATAAGGCACTTCCAGCCTGGTTCTGGCCCCACAACCTTTTCCAGGAGCATCCTGGCAGGAAAATGCCCCAGGGTGGGAGGGGAAGGTTCCCAGCAACTTTTCTGCACAGCCTGTGTTCTGCAGCACTTGAAAGAACCATTGCAGCTCATCTGGCATGCACACGAATGACAAATATGCTTCAGAGGCAATAAATTAGCAATTTCAAGGCTTTACTTCCCCTCATGGACTAATTGCCAGAGATTATAGTATATTATGTGAGAGCAATGATACTAATGCCTAAATATGCTTCAGTGATTATAGAGCTATCCTCAATAACCAAGCTGTTTAAATGTCAATGCAAGAAAGCTCTTTATTATGAGATTAAATATTATTTTGAAGCAATGCAACAGGAACTTCCCAGGCTTTCTGCCTCCACTAATGCTGCCTTTGGGCAATGTATATTGGACAAGGTATGCTTTTTTAAAATGTGTACAGTAAAGGGTCCCTAAATGCTTTTGTGCTGCAAATTTGGATAGCATTCCTAATAAGAAGGAGGATCTTGGCATCTTTTTATTTTGTAATTGTTGCTAACATGCTGCTGCCTTCATCCTTCCTCCACTTGTGTATCAACTACTGTATAGAGAAGATAAATTCTTGTTTTCTGGTTGTGGAGTTGGGAATCAAACCCCAAAGACCTTTTCTTTCCCCCCCCCTCCATCCCCCTCTCTAAGTACCAGATGCTTTTGAGTCCAGCCCCTCACACCTAAATAGATCTGTTAATACCTGGCATTGAGACAACCCCTGAAAATCAGTGGAAGCTCCAAATTTCAGGTTCAGCTGCTGATAATTCATAATTGTTATAATATAGAAAACATAGATAGGCCCGCGGGGACAGATAATGTAAAATGAAGGACAGAGAGAGCCAACTTTTTGTGAAGTTTGGTGGAATTTTCTCTTTCAAGTATTTTTTTCCTTTAGGAATTATTGTTTCTTAAACACAGCCTACACTTCTCCTCCACAGTGTGCTCCTGAGGGGCTGGAGCATCATATACAGATAACCATGGAACTTACTGGCAAGAATTCCATTCTGCCCAGCCTTAGCAGGACTGGACACCTGGATCCATGTCCCACTGCTTCTGCTGCAGCCTGGCAATTGTTGACTCTGAAGTTTTGATGTTTTCATCTTGGTTGGTTTCTTCAGCCATTTTACATCTCAACTATAAAATGCAATGCTTGTTTACCTCAGAATGTCTGAAGCTCTTTCTGATGCTCGGTAAAAGACACCTGCCACACAGGCTCAGAAAAGACATAAATTGCTCTATCATTTGTAACATTTTAAAATACCTTCATCTGTTAAAATCACAGTGTGACTGACAAGGAACATGCTGAATGGCCATGAGAATTCTTTCTCTGCTCTTCCAGGCAGACAATAATCTGACACCTTTTTTGTTATGTCTTGACTTAAATATACTATGGGAAACCATATCTTTATCTTTATAACAGCAATAAAGTTAGAACAGAGATGTTAACTAAACCAACAGCCACAGACTGACACTGCTCAAAGGACAGCAAATGTGGACTTAGCACAGAATGGGTGAAAATGACCCACATTTGGCTGCTTCTGTGCAAATATTATTTCAAATCAGATGAAACCCCTCTTTTATTTTTGCAGCCACTTGATGAAAGCTCTCCCCACGCCCAGCCCCACTCACCATGAAGCCTGGGGCACAGATGCAGCTGCCAGTGATGCTGTCACAGTCGGCCCCGTTGTGGCAGGGACAGGGCACCTGGCAGCCCTCGCCGTAGTAGCCCACGGGACACGTCTCGTTGCAGTAGAGCCCAGCCCAGCCAGCCTTGCAGCTGCACTCCCCAGACAGAGGATGGCAACTAATGAAGAGACAGATGTTAATGAGATGTGGGCAGGAAGGAAAAACACAGCCCAGAACATTTCACGTGTCACACTCAGAGCAGGGTAAGCCTGGAAACTCTTTAGGGTGGTGGATATGAGCAGCTGTATAATTTGGGGCATGAATAGAGAATCTGGTGCTAAATAGCCCAGCATTTCCAAACATCTGGGAACTGCCACAGCACTGGTTAGTTTACACCTTGAAGTTTATGCTCTTCCATTCTCAAATCAGTGGGACTTGGATTACTGGCATCACCCACACCATTAATCCTTACAAGCTGTAGACAAGTATGTGCTGCACTATTTGGCTGTAATGCAGACAGCTAAAGATGTGCAGGGATAGAACAAGTTCCAGTGGGTGGAGGAATCAAGAAAGCTGTGAAGATGAACCTGAGTTCAAGAGCACAGCATTTCTATTCTATTCTATTCTATTCTATTCTATTCTATTCTATTCTATTCTATTCTATTCTATTCTATTATGTTGCCAGAAATCCTGTTTTCTTTACTCTCAGAGCAAGAAGAATAGACTTCTGCAAGGTGGGATCTCTTTCTGGGCCTGTCTCCTGGTTTTTTGTATACCAGAAACAATTTCTTTTTCTTTACAGTTATTTATTGTTATTTATTGTTATTGTCTTGATTCCTCCAGTTTAAGACTGTAGACATGACTGAATGGGTTTTTTTAAACCTATAAAATTAATACTGTATATGTTAATTTTCAAGGTAACATCATAAAATGTAATTTCCAACTATGTTTCAGGCAATTTCTGTTAGGAGAGGTTGGTCATATAGTGTTGCAACTAAAAAAGATCAAATTTTTTAAGTGTCAAATGTTTCATCATAAATAGTGCTTTACTGACTAATTAAAACAATTCATCAGCATAACAAACTACCATCCATGACAAAGTAGTCCCTGAAATGATGGTTTTCACAAAACACCTCTTAACATTCAGATGAAAATAACAAAAGCTCATGTTTCCCCCTGTGTCTATTAATCATTACCTAATAGGAGCAGAAAGCTCAACATTAAAGAAGGATTTTAAAATGAATTTCGTGTTGCTCTCTTTCCACTACTACTACATGTATCATGTGCTTCCATGAGAACTGCATCTGGTGGGTAAATTAAACATTTCAAAGGTAATATATAACTAGGACAGTTTGAATCAGACTATGACAATTCAGCAGAAGATACTACACACGCTCAGAGTTTTTAATCTGAGGTTGGCTCCCTCATCAGCATGGACAGCTTTTTTGCATGGGATACAAGCTATGCATTAAGGGCTAAACCTCATCCTGATGTGCACTAAAACAAGAATCCAAACCAAACAGGCTTTTCCAGAAGAATCTACTGGAGACAGGGAACTTGGACTCCAAAACAAAGGCCAGTAGAAGTCTGAGGGCACATTTTGACCCATGAAAGCCTTGCCCACATTTCATGGGACTGCGAGCCAGAAAAATCCAGTGCAGATGTTTGGGTCCCTCCAGCCACATGAACTTCCCATTGAAGGAAGGATCATTTTGGCATCAGCCTGAGCAGATCAGGGTTTTGTTTTTCTCCCAACTCCAAAGCACTTGTTTGACAGTGCAGGTGCCTGATGCAGCGTTAACTTCAGGAGGACTGAGATGGAGATGCTTTCCCAAACTGCACAAGGCAGCTGTTCTCTTCCCAATCCTGCCAGGGAATCTTGGCCACATAACTGACTCTTCTGCCTTCATTATTCCCATTTCTAAAGCGATGCCATTCTCCCTTTGGAAACGCTTTCAAGATCTGCAGTTGATATCGATAAATAGTACAATAAATAGTACAACATTTTTCTATTAATTATTTTTTTCTCTCTGGTTTGTATGAACTATTCCACTAATTAAAGTGAGCAGAGTTACATGCTAAATATATTGCAGCTCATGATGTAGAAATAGTGTATGTGTGTGTTTCTTAGGAAGGTTTCTCTTCTGCTGGCATTTGTACAACCACATTCTGGTCAAATTATGTACCTAGATACAGAACAGAGCCAGGAAATTCATCTATCACCCATCCAAACATCCATGTATCCAGACTGCCCAGTTAATTAAATGCTATTTTGGACTGAAGCTGAAATGTTTGAGGCAGAACAAAGCTTGACTAGGAGATGGAAATACAGCTAGAAATTTTTATAAATATCTGTATAATTCCTCCTCTCCTGTTTTGAGTGTACCTTCCCAGGCCATGTAACACTTTGCCAGCAGGGGTCACAGTGCCTGTGAGGCATTTCTCCAGCCCCCAATAAACTGAAATTAATGAACACAATTCCTCTGCAGAAGGATGGCTGAAGGATGGGTGAGAGAATGGGAAGGTTCCAAAAGGATCCCAAAGGCAAACCCACCAACATCTGTTTTCTAAGCCTTGCTGGGAGCAGCGAGGGAACCTCACACTCTTCAAAGAGTTTGGCAGTGTTATCCTTTGTAGTTTGCATCAAATCTTAACTTTTATTTCTTCAACTTTCCTGCATTGCAGGAAGAAGCAGAGTAGAAACCAGGAGTGAACACAGGCAGCCAAGTGTTCCTGTGGCTCCAGGCCAAGCAGAGGTGGATCAGAGCTGGCCACACACACATCAGGGCTGACAAGGAAAGGGTTCCAGGGCTCCTGCTGCACTTTGAAATCTACTGTGCAATCCGTGGCTTTTCAGCCACATTTACATCAATAGAAGATTTATTTTAAAAATTTTTATTAGCTGAACTGAAAAGCGTAAGGGCATTTTTGACCTTTAAATTTTTTAAGCATCTAATTTTGAGGAAGTCTGAGGAAAGCAGGTAAATTTCTCAAGGCAAAGTAAATGTGTTTTAAATAGCACAGTCTGTTCCAAATTCTGAATTTGTTATTCACACATCTTTCAGCCAAAGCAACATCTTCCCAGTGAATTTTCTGTTTTTCTCTTTATACAGCAGCACTAGTCCTCTCATTTTCGTTATCAGCAGCCTAATCCTAATTTTACAGTATTTTCTGTTTTATGGTGTCCACACTACATCCAGTTTCCCTCACTAAAAAGCCTCTTGTTTTAAAGCAGTGGCCACAGTGAGGCTCAGGGCTGCTCCTTCATCCTTGTCCAGCACGATTGACTCAGATCAAGGCAGAACTCCATGGAAGCTCCATGGGGTTTGGTCCTGCCCATCTTGCCAGTGTTGAGGCAGCAACTGGAGCCTCTGGAGATCTGCCCATTCAATTTGCCTTTGAACCAGTGGCTTTCTTCCTTCTCACATCTCTGACCTGGGGCACACGGCTCCCCAGGCTGGCTCCACAGCAGTGCTCAGGAAGGGTGGGTGCCCAGGGCTACTCCAGCTGCTCATTTCCCTCCCTGCCCCTTCCAGCTATTGTAGGCTGTCTTAACATGGACTTTTTGCAGAGGGGAGTTTTTTACAGGTGTATCCTTTCCAGTGGAAGGACAGTCCAAGTCTAACCACATTCTAAATCACCTAATTGTGGGGTTGTTCAAAGTCCTGTACAAAGTGTCTTTCAGTGTGCTTTGATGCAGAAATTATTGGATGGCGTCCTTCAGTCATTACCATGCTGGAGGTTAGACTAGATGATCACTCTGATCTCTTCAGACATTAAAATAGATAGATCTATGAAAATGGAAAAGCTGATTGTGTATTTCCTACTGTTCCTCCTCAGCTACTCCTCAAAGCCCTCAGAACTTTCCATTCCAGTCAACTCTCCAATAACCAGATCAAATGAGACAAATCCAGGGACAGGAGTTTCCTTCACCTTCTACAAGTGTTTATTAATTACCCTCTACACTTGGGGATCACAACAAGTAGCCAAGACCTTAAACTGCTCCTGGGGAAAATAGATGGCTGTGAATAAATAAATCACTTTGGAAGAGCCCAGTTTCAGTACAAACACTCAGGGAGGAATGGGAAGAGGTGGGTGGGCAGAGAAGTGCACTGTATGGGACTGGTTAAACAATCAGTACAAAGATTTGTTCAGAATATGGAGTGCCTTTGGAAAAGTGGAGCTGAAATTCCATGGATGAATGAAAGAACATTTACTGACCTACAGCTTGCTGGTATCTCTTTGTTCCATAACAGCAGTGATAAGATGTAGGAAAAAGAGAGATTTTATCAACAGAGTGACCAGACTCATTTATTAAGTAACCAGAGATTCCATCTCAGCAGAGGATGCTGCAAGGGATGCTGACGGAGCAGTGTTGGGAGGGAAGGAATGAAATGTTCCCATCAGACAGCAAGCAGGCACAGGAGGGTGTGTAGGAATGACCACATGCCCGAAAAAGAGCTGGGAGAGGATTCAATCCTCCCCCTTTCTGAGCTCTCTCAAACCTCTCTGAGACCTCTTCTTTTCTCACAGCTGGAAGGTGCGAGTTTGTTCTTTCAGGAAAGATCCTCTGGCAAACTCACAGAGCACCTCCCAGGTAGTTCTGAGTAACACAGGGTGAATTCTTCCACCCTCCAACCCACAGTCTTACCTCACCTAAAAATCTCTTAATGAATTGAGCACGTAGCCGAGAAACTGCAGCCAAGCTCAGCCTTGCCTGTGGCCTGCAGTCCTTCCTTCCCCTCTATTTCTACCTTTATGGGAACAAACAGGTTTCTGCAGGCTCAGGAGGGGTGAAGACACAAGTCAGCTGCTGCCCACGAGCATCTTCTCACCCTCCTGTACACCTGAAGAACAGTTTACACAGAGGAGCAATTCAGCTTGGATTTACCACAGGTGCTGCAGTGATGAGACATGTAGGAATTCATCCCTCAGCTCACTCTGCAGTAATTCCTGAGGCATCCCCCAACACAGAACTAACCTTTTGTGTTAATGTGCAGCTCATGCCTCAGGGATGGTATTTTTGCAGTGATTTCATGATACACAACATAATCAGAAGCGAAGGAAGACTCTTGTACAGAGCTCCCTGGGAGTCTCAAACCCTTTGGATCCTGGCTGTCAAACCCAATTGTGCTGGAGCTCTCTTGCTGCACAGGAGTTGTATCACCACAATTACAAGTTTTAAATAATCCATTGTGAGCTCCGACTTTCAGTTAAGCAAAGCCTCACCACTCACAGCTGAATTCACAAGGAAAATCAACTGTTTATTTCCAGAACTGAGACAAATAGGGTCTATCTCAAGTGCCCAGAGAGACTTGCCTGAAGTGTTTGTGTGTGTGTCTGTGTGTGCACACAAACAAGATGCCATTTCTTGCATACATAATTGAGTGTGTTTCTATTTTAGCAGCAGCAAGATGGCAAGGTGGGTTTGTCAGAATCAGCAGGACAGTCAGGTCCCCACCTGTCTGGTTCCAAACTGAAGAATGTCTATCAAGGGCATTTTTGCCTGGGCATCAATTATCTCCACTTCCCCCTGAAGCCTACACAACCCAAAACTGGCTCTTCCTCAGAACAGCAATGGGCAGGAAAAGGAGGGAATCCAGTGGGAGCTGAGGGGCTCAGCACTGTGCAGGTGAGGAAATGTGGCTCCAGAACATCAGACAGCTCAGGCTGAGGGTTTGGATGTCCAGGCTCCCTTTACTGCAAGTCAGGGAGTGAGGATTCTCCAAACAGCAATTCCAGCAGTCAGTAAGCAAGGCAAAGAGCTGCTTAAGGTAACAAAGAGGATAATAGGAAAGAGTCTTAAATTCTTCCTTCTTTTCAAGGTTTGCAAAACTTATTCAAGCCTGCAATGGAAAAGTAAATTCAAAGTGCTCAAGTCTGTTTGTGGCTCTGTCTCATAGTAAAGAGAACCTCCAGAATCAGATCTTTAAAAAAGCAAAAAAGGGAATAAAACATCAAACTCTGACCTTTTAAGTGAGGCTCATTCCATTGTAGGTCTAATTCCCTGATATTTATTTTCCTGAATATTTTCCACATACACAAAGAGAATGAAGAGCAAAAATGGGCTCGCGTGAGGAGTCTATTTTGACAATGTCAACCACGCTATAGTTCCACAGACTGACTCAGGGATATTGATTTCAGTCTATTTATACATCTGCCCCAAGTGTTTCCAACAAGGTAATTTGCCACGAGACATCAGCTGAAGCAAATTAGGTTTCATGTTGAAAGTCCCCTTGCTGTCTATAGATCTAACAAGCAAACCCATGTCATAAAAAAGAGGGCAAGTGTTGGATTTGAGTAAATATATATCTGTTTTTGAAACTTCAGTGGGTTATTATCCACACATATGAGCATCACCTGGTGGTTCTTATGCCTAGAGGGTTTACAGATTAAAGCTGTATGTCAGGCTGTTTCAGGTGTTACCAGAACTGTTAACAGATACATGCTTTGTATCTGACTGGACTGAGTCTTATGGTTCCAAACCCGAGGTCATTTAAATCAAAATTTTGCAAACCAGAAAAAAATCTCTGTGTTTGCACTTAAAACTACAGAGAAAAGGACAGTAACTGGAGTTAATAGAATTTTTCCCCAATGCTTTTATTGGACCAGTTCCTGCACTAGAATATGACACGATGTACATACCTGAGGGTGTTGGTAATATTGCAGGGGCATCTCTTGTTGCATTTGAGGCCATAGAAGCCTTCAGGACACATCCTTTCCTGGCAGTGGATGCCTTTGAAGCCGGGGTCACAGATGCAGGCCCCGTTGACGTGGTAGCACTTGGCGCCGTTCTGGCAGGCGCAGGTCTGCGCGCACTGGAAGCCGTAGGTGCCGATGGGACACTCCTCCTGGCACCTGCCATGGCACGGGACATGGCCTCCAGTCACATCCACAGTCTCTGCAGGACATTGCTTTTACACAGGAACCTCTTTGTTCATGAGTTAAATACCAAGCAGAGCAATTATTGCTCCTTTATGGAAGTAACACACTAACTGATGGTATCACCGGAGTGATGGGGTATCTTGGGCATGCAAATTGCTGCTGGGGGAAACTGCATTCATCCTTGCCCAATTATATCCTGCCAAATTTGCATTAGTTCATATTACCTTCGTTCACAAGATGCATTCTTCTTTCCTGGACCTTGACAACTGTGTTCATCAATCGTAAGAAACTGATAGGCAATAAAAGATTTTATTATAAAACCCCTCACTTGCTTGACTTTTCTTTATCACTGTGCACCTCCCTTGAAAGCACATGGCCCTCTCAGTGATGAGGAGGGTTAAAAGGGAAAGTGTATTCAGAAATACTGAGCAAAATGTTTTCCAGCAATGTTTTAGTTTTACTTGCCCTCTTTGTTGACATTGCATCAGTTTTATACCAACTAGGAGAAAAGAAATCCCTTTGTGTTTGTGTGTGTTCTGAGTAACTAGAAGATTAAATTTTCTTTTCTTCTCCTACTCCAGGGTAGCTTGGTAGTATAAAATCTCAATAAAAATCACTTTCATGCTCCTTAGTGGAGAATCTTCTTAAAAATTGCCAACATTTTAATATTTGATGCACATACAATTGGAACCTGCAAACACTTTACAGAGATTGTTTTAAATTGCACCTTCCATGCACTGTTAAAAATATCTCCCTACTTGGATATGTTCTGAGATCTGCCAAAAAGTCTGTTTCCTTGTCCTACACAACCAATTTAAGAGTTCAGATTATTTCCTACTTGGAAAAGCTCAGCTAAGGTCCTGAAGAAAGCAACTGATTTGTGTGCTTGACATAATTCAGTGGTTTCAGAATTCTGCAATGAGTCAGTACCACAGTTTACATGATCCACCGTGAAATACAGATAGGCCTTTTCAGTTAATAAAAACAGAAAAAGAAGCCCAGAAAAGCCCAATTCCCTTATCACATGGATGCCAGGCATTGGAAATTGCCTATCAGCATTAATTTAAGCCTGAGCATTGATTAAAGTGTATACTGTAAACTCAGTGGATGGAGGCAATTGTTAAATGTCTTTCTGCAGGTCATTTCACAGCTGGCAGGTGAGAGTTAATATAATGATCAGTAATAAAAGATTAATGTGTGATGCAAGCCAGGCAAAACTGCAATGAACACAGGCAGTATATAAGAAGGGCATTACTTTTGCAGCTTCAGATTATCACGTTTTACTAAAAATAAATGAACACAGCAAAGGGCCTGGCTGGTGATTTAATTCCAGCAGGCACCGACACAGTTGCTGGTCACAAATCTGAGTTGAGTAGTTCATACAAGACTCAAAGTGAGAGGAGTTTGGGACAAAGAGGGAAAGAGTCTGGAGAGGCATGAGAGAGAGACAGAGCCCTGCTGCTCTCAGGGGGTTCAGCTGCAAAGGAAAGAGCCAGCAAAGAATGGGAACAGTGGGGCTGGAACACTCCCAGCAAATGAAATGCAAGGAGAAACAATGAAGCTCCTCATGTCCCCACTGCTGCACAGACCCCGAGTGAGCAGGAGAGCTCTGAGCTCCACGGGATGAACTCTTAGTCAATAGTGCACTGTATCATTCTATATTTATAGAAGATGAAGCATTACCTAGCAGGGAGAAAAGCATCTGGAAATGAAATATTGACGACCCAATCCATTTACATAATTAGCCTTTTTCTACTAACAATTTAACCAACTTATTTATTTGGAGATCAAGCAGCTACCTCTAATGAATTTTATACAAAGAATACTAATAATGACTCCTCTGGAACATGAGAATAATCACAGCAGGAATTAGCTTTCTACTTAAACATCTTTCCTTTGCAACATATCAATCTAATGTGTCCATAGCACCATTAACAACCAGATACATTGTTCAATTAAATTACAAAATGAGCTGCTAAGCCCTAGTTATGTTTCTTGTTTAATTTACATTGCTTTCTGCCTATCTGGGGAGATTCGTATTATAATATCCACTGAACTTTAATATGTACCATAATTATTTGGGTTGGGATAGGATAATATGGCTGTCACCTGTAGAATTAATGGAAGCAATTTCACAAAATATTAAACAGAAGACAGCATGCTTAACAGATGAACTTACTACATGCCCCTACATTTTTTCCCCACAATTTTCCTTTTTTGAGGAATAATGCTGCGAAGTTTTTTAGGCTGTCCTTTTTGTTTTGAAACAATGATCACGTTTATGTAGCACAGACAAATATGAAAAGCCATCCAAAATGCACTAACATGGAGATAAGAGATACAAGTACAAACACAACAAGAGGAGAGTAAATCTGCCCGTATAGTTCTAATAAATGTGAGATTTATGCTGTTAAGATTCAATCTTTCAACTTAAGGGCAATATGGAAAACAAAGCTAAACCAGCATGTTCACTTTTCCTGTGAGCCACTCAATTCAGAAACACTCCATTCTCAGCTTCTAACTGTGCTCCTGCTATTATTCCTTTCCAGTTTGTAAAACACACATTTCCATGACAGATCCAGTCATTTCAGTGAACACAAAGCATCCTGCAGTTATTAACAGTGCTGCCAATTTCCTAGAGATTTAGTGCAGTGCCACTCTTGGAAAACAGGTAGGGAACAAAAGTGTGGCAATTACACTCACAAAGACCTTTATGACCATTTCATCTCCACAGATATTTATCTAACTCTGTGTTATTATCTTCTGCACAAGATGATGAAATGTAGCATTATATAGTACTTATTGACAATTTAAAGATGATAGTAGGTAAAATGTATTTATGTCTTTATTGCTGTTATTCACAGCACCTGTCATTATTAAGCTTTTTTTTAATGCCTTGTAAAATGTTAAAGCAGGCAGTGTTTTGTTGTTCAGCAGAGTCTCCTGCTCTTCTTTTTGCTGTGACACTGCAACAGCTGCAGATGCAGAGTTGTAAAACAGACTCTGAGCTAAACTGGAGCTGCCTGCTCTGTCCCATTGTCCCTGTGGTGTGAGCACAAACCCAAGGAAAGCCATTCAGACTCCTTAAAGACCTCGTCCCTCACTGAAATCAGTGGGCCCCCAGGCAGGTGAGGCAGGTGTGTGCTCAGAAAAAACCAGCAGAGCCAGTACAAACCAGGGCTGCCCAGCAGAACTGCAGCTGGACACAAGAGGCCTGAGGTTCCCCCTCCCTTATAGGAGGGGGATTAAAGGCTGAGAGATGAACATGTTCTAACCTTCCAAGAACCTGTTGGAAAGATGGGAATTTCTAGGCTAATCCAGTTTTACCCTGCTGCAGCAGAGCTTTCCTAACTGCCTGTTTACCTTTTCAATCCTGTTCTCATTCATCCTTTCACACACCTGCATTTCTGCTCTCCTGCCTCTCCTCTCAGCGTCTTTTACTTCTCTCCTCTGGGATGGGGAAGGTGAGCCATTGCCAAGAGTTTTGCTTGGATCCAGATCCAGAATGTGACCTTCTTTTCCATTTCTCCCAGATGATTCTGCCTTATTTTTTTACTGTCTCCCTTCCCAAGTTATGTCTCTCTTTGGAGTCCAAATCTCTCTCCCTTTTCTCCAAGTACAGATCTCCGAGTCCACACTCCTTTTGCTCAAGGACAACCCCTGTGAGCTCCTGCCATGTCTGGCCTGAGGTGCCTCCTCTGCCCAGTCTCTCCCTGAGTTGCCCTCTCCAATGGCAATCAGCAGTAAAATCCTCTTCCCATCTCCTTTCCTCATCCCCAACAGGGATGCAAGCTGCTGGCTGGGAGCTCCCAAAAGCTCCAACACTTGATTGGACTGATCCATCTACAGCCAGGAATCCATCAGGGTGTGCAACAACCAAATGAGGAGAGCAAGAGAGGCTCTGCCAGCCTCCCCCAGCATGGCCAGCACTGGGAGCAGATCAGGATTCAAGTGTGGTCCCCACTATAAAGTCCCAGGCTGTACAGCTGCCTCCTTCAGTGGAAAAGTCCCCACAAAGACAGAAAGAACAACAGGAATTATATGGTACCACATGTCTGGGAACAGTCTCCAGATGGAGAATGGGGAGAGAGGCACACTGATGTCTTCTTCTCTAAATTACTTGGAAATAATTAGTATTTCCTCCATATTCAACCCCATGCAAATCCTGACATAAACTCCAATTATAACTGTCCATAAAATGGCAACAGAGAAGCTCCATGTGTAATGGGAAGGAGCAGCCTTCTGACCCCCCCACAGGGCTGAGGGTTGGATGTTTTTGCTACAACGACCTGCTGATTATTCAGTGAGGGCAGAGATGAGAAATTCCAATGAGCTTTGTTGCATAAAAATATAATTGCAGCATATGTCAGTATAGAGCTAATAAAAAAGGGAATATAGAGGAGAAAGTGCTTTAGAACAACATCCACTGGTGAGCTGTGCATTTCTGCAAACCCTGGTGCCACAGGCCCCATGCAAAGTGCTCCTGAGAGCTGCTTTAAGTGCATTTCCCACCCTTTGTTAGCCAGGATTAGCTGCAGGCTAAGGCAGCACGTGCTGCAATCCCTCATTGACTTTGCTGTGTAGTCATTTTGCTGAATCCATGACACCTTGGTAAAACAATATTATCATCTGCTCTGATCGATTCATGGGTGAAGGCTCTCGTTTATAAATTTTGAGGATTTATCACCTTTTGCTGGTGGCTGAGATGGATCAGTGCTACAGCAGCACAGAAGAATGAAGGAGACATTAAACTGCAGCATTGCTTACTCTTGAGGATATTAATTTGTATAAAGATAGTTCATTTACATATCTTGTAAACATGTAATGCTCTCTATTAAATTTATCACTGTAAATATCTAAATTAAATTTAATCCATTAAATTTTAAAAGTTATATTAAAAACCCCTGTAAATGGAGAGCATTGCCAATAAAAAGTAATAACATTGCCACATTTATATTGCTTGAAGTGCTTCAGAAGGATGAACCTAATTGGAGCAATAGAAACATAACACCATTTTTCAGGGAGGAAGATTGTCCTAGAAGGGATATAAATATTGACAGTCTGTGGTTAAAATGAAAGTCTTTGGGGGTTGATTTTTACCTGTCTCCTATATAGCCAGCTGTACACAGGCATTTTCCTGTCACGGGGTCACAGTGCCCTCCGTTGTGGCATGGACAGTCCTGGCTGCAGTTAATTCCAAAGGTTCCAGGAGGACAAGGCTGTGCACACACCAGCCCCTGGTAAGGTTGCAGAAAGAGCAATATTTCAGTCAACATTCATAATGCAATAAATTTCTCTACGCAGCTTGGAATTTTATTGTCCTTCTTGCTAAAACTAGATGTAAGCGTAGTAGCAATATTTTATCTGCATAAGATGTGCTAAAGACAGTCTGAAAACTCTGCTACCACAGTAAATGCCTGCCTGGCCTGACTCCAGAAGGGATTTTTCTCACCACTGCACACTCAGAGATAATTCTCTTCCTTGGATCTCCCCCACAAACTGCAGCTGGGCTTGCACTACCCCTCGAGCAGCCACACAAAGATGTGGGAGAAGTTAAAGGCTACTAGAGAAGTCTACAAAACTGCTTGTGTGTTCCTGAGGTTTTTGTGAAATGGGGAGTCTGAAAAGCTGTTGGCCACCTGCTGCACAGAGGAGGTTTGGGAAGGAAGGGATTGTTGGGAAGGTTGCACTGGGAGGGTGTAGCTGTGCTGGTTTTGATGGTCTGTGATGATCTCTCCTGTTCAGCCAGTCTCATTCATCCAACCCAACTGGAGGCTGGAGATTCCTCTACTGCCCTTCACACCCTTCCCACTGCTCCCTCTGCACTCTCCAGCCACACATCCATCTCTCAGATGGATGGATCTGCCAAAGCTTTGGAAAAGCCAGAGGGGCAGAATGGGAATGAGGATTAGAGCAGCTGCAGAAAGCCCCCAGTGATGGCACAGAAGCAATGTGAGTTTCCACATCAGCACTGCACCAGCCTTCTACCCAGAAGAAGGAATTTTGCAGTGGAATATCTACCTAATCCCTAAACAGTGACAGGATGCAGCCTCCAGCATCCTCCCAGCTCTTTATCCCCAACCCTGGAGCCACATCTCAGTCCCTGACCTGACTCAGCTGACATCCTGTTTTATGGTCCCAGCCCTCTGCTTTCTTGCCTCTTTATTCCAGTCTATTCCAAATCCTTGTTGCAGCCTTCCTTTTAATTCTCTCCTCCATCCAGACCCAAATGCTCATCTTTGAGATGTTTCCTCCTTCCCCTCCCTGCTGAACCAGCCCTGGGAGGAAGCAAAGCCAGACTGTCCCTGCTGTGCCCCTGGCACTGCCCACAAGTGAAGCAGCTCCCAGGTAATCCCTGCTCCAGCTGCTCAGCCCCAAGGCAGGGAATGTTCACCCTTGTGTGGGGTCATGTCTCTGGAGAATCCACCTGCCAGTCTCAGGTGGTTTCTCCCCAGGTATCCCAGAATGTCCCTGCCAAGTATCAAGGCCATACAAGGATTTCCCCAGACTTTCTTAGAAGTTGTATGAATGTTTTTCTCCCTGTGAGCAAATATAAAGCCTGAGGCTGGCATCCAACTGAGGAACTTCAGCCAAAACAAGTCTGGCAGTGCTGGGATCTGAAGTTGTGGTCCTATAATGGAAAATGTTTGGCATCTGCAGCAAGTGGTGCTGCTGCCAGTGCCACCACAGTGCCCAGCATGAGACAGAAACAGTGTCTGGCCACGGGATTATTTGGGTTTAATTTCTCTGTTTCCCTAACCAAGCCCTGGGGCCTCTGGGTTTTGAGCAAAGCATGTATCAGACACAACTGATTCAAAATATAAACCAGGAATATAATGGCTGCTTTCACTCCTCAGGGCTTGGGAAGTTTAACTGTATCAACAGCCCCAAAGTGAAGAGGCTGCTCTTCAATGTCACCATAAAACAGATACTTCGAGCCTTTCCCAACCAGGGCTGTGTGGCTCCTTGGCTGTAAAACAGACAGGTTGGCCTCTGTTCAAGAACTTTCAGATTACAGCATTAAAAACTGGTGTCTCTGGACTTGAGTAATACACAACACTATATATCTGAAAACCTAAGTGTCCATTTATCTTGATAATAAATACTTTCTCCCTTCATGTCTCAAAAGGAACAGGATTTCTATCAACAAATGATGAGAAAGCAATACTCTGGGATGCATCCCCCCGGAGCCAAGAGAATCTTTAGCTGTACTTTTTGCATTAATATGTACTAAGGGAATTCAAAACATCCCTCTCTAGAGGATCAAATGTCAGACCAACATTTCCTGCTGCTTATACATCTAATCAGCAAAGTTCACCCCATCAGCACCTTTTTTAAGGCCCTGATCTTATCATCTTCTGCTTTTGACATTGTTTTCTGTACTTTGTAGGACAGAAAGATTTTTTTTTCTCCTTCATTTTCTCAGACACGTCCATGTTTAAAATCCACAACAGAAAGAAAAATAGACAAAAATACAAATGATGCTTCACAATGCCCAGAATCAATAGCAGAGAAGTGCTGAGCAGAATGTGCTGTACTACCACAGCACCACCATGCCTTGGGAAGGGGGTCTGGGGCCAAACAGGGGGTGTTGCCAGTGACAAATGTTCTGTCACATCAGGAAATATTGTTACTTTCCTGAGTACAGAGATCTAGCCCTTCAAAAGGGCTTCTGAGAAGCATTGTAAATGCAAAATTAACTTCTCTCCCCACTTCCTGAGAGCGTTTGGAGAATTGAATATTGCCAGCGAGGAAGATGTACAGAATTAAATCTGTAAATTGTTCATGAGGCCCTAAAGCAGCCACCCACTAAACTCCACAGCCACAAAGATGGAAAAAGCCCAACATTGTGGGAGGCTGGAAGCCACGTTCTGTTGACTGTTCAACAAGAGAGGCTGTTGGCCACCATCCTCCTGGTGAAGAACCCATGGGGTGGTAAAATCCCACAGGACACTGTCCGTGGAACTTGTGCTGCTGAGAGATTCAGCACTGGTGGGAGACATTACAAGTCATAAAAGAACCAGGCTTTGAAGATGGCAGCTCCAAGGAGGAACCTCAGAACCCCAGAACTTCTTCCTTTTAAAGTCAATGCCTTCCCTTCCCCATCCCACCAAACCCCAAGGGAGCTGAGCTCCTGTTAATAAGCCAGCCTAGGAAAGGATGAAAGTTGAAGCTCATCCAGCAGCAATAAAGTCCAAGTGGATTTGCACTTGTATAAATCTAGGGGGAATTCTCTCCTTCCAAAATGATGGTATATTCAATATATATGTGCAGTCTCAAGCCTCAAAATCAGCAAGTAAAATTCCTGGTGTCACAGAAATCCGTGGTGTGAAATAAAATGAATGCTGTCTAGCAATCCCATCTCGCCTGCTCCTTTACAGCCCCCTCATGTCTCACTTCCCAAACCATTCCAACCACCAAGAGTTAAAAATATAGCATGAACACACACTTGTTATCTCTCTCTGTACACTGAATTACCAGCTTTTCATTAAAACCCTGGAGAGACCCTTTATACTTAAAATCTCAACATTTACAAGCTGAGTGCTTTTACTTATAATTTCAATTTCTTTCTGCAGAATACTTGATCTTTCTCTTCAATTTTCAGTTATGCTTGTTTCAAACATCAATTGTTAACTCTAGGGTTCCTCCAGGGACAGTACAGCCAACAACACAGTTTTCATAAAAGTCTCTCTGGGCTCCTAAAAATGCATAAAGGAACTCCAGGCTGTAAGGAATTGGGCAGGACTGGGCCAGAATACAACCACAGCTACTGTGCAGTGCTCTGGTTCTTCTTAGGGTCTGTGCTGCATCCTAAAAGACATCTAAAAATTCCTGTTCTATTCTGATATTCTTATTTGTTTGGTGATGTTTTAACTTTGAAAAACAGGGGAAAACTCCTGATAAAATACAAGTAAGGAATAATACAGAAAAACAACCCGGATCCTGAGAAATCTTGGCATGCAGGAGAAGAGATGAAAAAAATAATATTTTTATGTGAATCACTTTATTGATCACTTCTCAGGGGGTAGTGCCAGAATGGACTGATAGACCCTCAAAAAGATGTGAATTGCTTTCCTAATGCTCCAGCACTCAAGGAAAGAACCTTTTCTTTGCCACCACTGATTGCCAGCTGAGGGCAAGGGGCCATATTCATACTTCTGACAGGTTTTGCCTTTGCCATTTGGAATGGAATAACCTCATCACCACCCATGCCACGATGGGTGGTTTTAGAGAGATCCCAGCTCTCCAGTTAGAGATATTTTCCACCAAAAATGAAGAACACCAGTGCTCTCCCACAGAACATTGTTGCTGATGCACAGCAGAATCTCAGAGCTGGTACTTCTGAACTCAAAGCAGTTGATGTATAAATGGAAAGGAACATAAACCTCTCTCAGCTTTTGTATGTTTGAACAGGTAGAGGGTCCCCATCAGAATTCACAGTTGTGTGATGATCTGCAGGGCCTTCCATGTAAAAATAAAAAGTTCAGAGTACTTGCATGCTTTAAAATCCATCAACTTTGCCAAGAGACTAATTGTCCAATAGAGGAAAAATGCCAGGAAGTTTAGTACAGCTAAATGGGATGAAGGCCTGTGAGACTTGGCACGCCCCAAGAGAGTTCATTATTACATTATTGATAAAGTTGAGGACTTTGAAAATGCTTGGCATTGCTTTCCTGACACAAAAGGATTAAAGGTTAGGTAGCTGTCTCTCTGCAGTGCAAGCCCTGACACAAGCAAATCTCTGGCAATCAATGGCAGAGGTGCCTGGGCAAGGACAAGACACTGAAATGTGCCCTGGGCTCAGCTCTGCTGCCTGCCTGAGCCTCGGATTCCCCCAGGCTTCCCCCTCTCCCTGAAGGGGAACAGGACATTTTGTGCCTCTGACAGTGCTGAGCTGGGCTTTGGGCTTTCTGTCCTGTGTGAGGGCACTGGGTAAGGCTGCAGGGAGTATTCCAAGGAACTGGAACTCACAGACAGCTCTCTTATCCTGTGGCATGCTGCTGTTCTTGAACTCTGTGATGGCACCTGCCAGTCTGAGAATCACAGAGCCACCGAGGCTGGAAAAGCCCTCCAAGATGATCAAGTCCAACCATTCCCCCTGCACTGCCAGGCTCACCACTAACCCCTGTCCCCAGGTGCCACACACACATTTTGGAACACTTCCAGGGAAGGTGGCAGGTCCCAAAGTGGTGGCCTGTCTGTGCAGGTGTTGTGCACACCCAGCAAATGTGGTTCCAGTTTGGGAATTGTTAGAGCCTGGCTGACACACATCAGTCACATCAGTGACTGTGAAAAATGCGTACTTTATGATTGGCTTTTCGCAAATATTAAAGTGAATATTATATGTGTTATGTTAGAAAGTTAGGCTGTATTAATTCTCTTAAGTAGTTGTTAAATATAGTTTTAGGTTATAACATAATGTTAAAATAGAAACTCTGAGATGTAAGATATTTTTTTACTAGCTCAAGAAAGAGATAAGATAATCAAGAAACTCTTTGCACAGAGATAACAGCAACAGGACACATAGTTACAGCCTCCTTATCAGAAAAAACATTCTTCCACCTTCTCTCTGTCTTTATGGAACCACCAGGATTAAGGAGAAGAAGTTGACAAAAACCAGAAACATTCTTAATTTGCAAGGAATTTATGCATCATGTATGAGATATATGAATATGCAACAGGCTATTGCTTTTAAGGTTATTCCTTTGTTCACAAAGCATGTTTTTGGCAACTTAGGGCCCAAAAACATCCGGACATCTGTAATTCTTTGCTTTTTATTGTCTTATAGTGTCCTAATCCTCACTGTCCAAATTTTTATTAATCTAATTTTATTACTATTTTTATAACTATTTTATTACTAATAAACTTTTAAGATTTAAAAAAACCCCAAGTGACTGGCGTTTTTCCCAGTGACCAGTGACCAGGCAGTTGCAGTTCCTGAGGGAGGAGCAGCAGCACCCACCATCCATCCAGCAGGACAGGAGCACTCCCCGGTGACGTGGTGACAAACGCCGCCGTTCTGGCAGGGGCAGCGCAGCTCGCACTGCGCCCCGTGGCTGCCGGGGGGACACAGCTCCTCACAGCTTTGGGGAGAGAGAGAACAGCAAACAGAGACATCAGCTCAGAGAATTTACAGGCAACAGCCAGTGAGGCAAACACACAACACAGGTCATCACGGGAGTCATCGTGCAAATGATGAGACCCCAGCAAGGCTCAGCTGGCACTGCCAATTAGCTGAGATTCCTTTTATTCCTGCTGGGGTTGTTTATGTGGCCTGGATCCAGCCCTGTAAGGCTGATGCATGAGGTAACCTTTCTGCATGTACCAAATCCCACCCATCTCAACAGGACAACCCATAACCATTAAAATAGCCCAGGAAAATATGAGTTGTGGGATGAAGGCTTCAATGTGAATTATATGACATGGCACTAAAAGAAGCTGCAAACAGAATAAAAGGATGGAATTAAAACATTTGAAATTCCTCCAGTCACTATTGAATGTTAACATTTGCAGTGTATAATGGACTGGCAAGGACTCAACATCATTTAAAGGCTATTTAAGCTCATTGAGTCTCTCTCAGTACTCGTGGGGGGCAATGTGGGGGTAATCCCTGCAAAACCCAGTGTGTCCTACATCTGCACATCACAGCTTTCAGCACTGAGGTTCTGAAATTATAGGATACTGTCCCCCTAACTGACTGTCGTCTAATGAGGATGTTCCTACAACACCAGGGCTGGCCCTGCTGACAACTGGCACGCTGATGTCAAGGGGAGCACTCCCAAGAGTAAGTGGAGTCCTTAGCAGTGAGTGCTTCCATGACTAAGGTCACAAGTCTAGGAGGAAATCAGGTACTAAATAAAATATTCACAAGGCCCATCACTTATTTATGAGGGTTAACTCCATCCTTATTTTTTACCTTCCCCCTCATGCAGGTCAACAAATAATAATAGACTGCAAAACTATTAACTCACCTACAAGAGATCTCCAACCAAATTCAGTGACTAAATTCTCTTTTCCTCTTAAATAATTCTGAAAAACATAATTACTCCTGAAACTACTGAAAGATCTCTAATGAGAACTGATGTTACACTGTGGGCAATTTTAAACAAGAAACTATTGCTTGCTGTCCTAAAATTAATATGCAGATTCTGTGAATCCTACTGGTAAACTTTCCGTGTGGTGGATGGGGATTTAGCTACATGATTCTCGTTAAAGTTAATAGGAGTCACACCGCTAAATCCCTGCTCTCTGTGCTTAAAATTTACCCCCTAGATACTAAGCTGATATAGTTAACAGCAATGCTTTCTCAGTTAGATTGAAAGTCAAATAAATTGGGGATGGAAAAGTCCCATTTGATGCTGCACTAGACTACTAATGAGGAGAGAGTCCAACTGCTCATCAAAACTCCACTGTAATTTGGATTGTATTCACATTCTGAAATTAGGAATAAGTAGAGTTGTTGCACAAGTTGGAACATATAAATTATTTTTAAGCTTATTTTAGCACTATATTTTATTTTAATAGCATGGAATCATAGAACTCCAGAATGGTTTGGGTTGGAAGAGACATTGAAACCAGATCCAACTCCCTGCCATGGGCACCTTTCACCATCCCAGGGTGCTCTGAACCCCATCCAACCTGGCCTTGGACACTTCCAGAGATCCAGGGGCAGCCCCAGCTTCTCTGGGCACCTGTGCCAGGGCCTGCCCACCCTCACAGGGAAGAATTCCTTTCCAATATCCCATTTATCCCTGTTTAAAGCCATGTCCCTTTGTTCTATCACCACACACCCTTGTCCTAAGTTCCCCTCCATCTTTCTTGAAGGCTCCTTTCAGGGACACAGGTATAACCAGCAGCAAGAACAGAGGTTCCCTTAATCCATTCTCTCTGAAATCCCCTTCCCTCATTTCTACACCGACCAGTGTATAACGGGGTGGAAATCCAGCCAATTACTCCGTTACGCGGCCGCTGCTGCACTTACAACACGCCGGTGTATCCGGGCGCGCAGTGGCACTCGCCGGTCTGGTGGTCGCAGGTGGCGCCGTGGTGGCACTGGCACTGGAAGTGGCAGCCCTTGCCGTAGGTGCCCGGCTCGCAGAGCTCCTCGCAGCGCCAGCCGCGGAAGCCGTCGGCACACACGCAGGCGCCCGTGATGGGGTTGCAGAGCGCTTCGTTCTGGCACTGGCAGCGGTTGCTGCAGTGCGGCCCCCAGTGCTCGCTGTCACAGCCTGCGAACGCACACGGAGTTAGCCAGGGGGGCACACGGGGCTGCCTCACCCCACAGCCCCGTGTGCGCCTCGGCCAGAGCCTCCCAAAGGAACCCCCGCTCCCAAACTGCCCCCCGGCCCGGCTTTAACATCTGCCCGCCCTCCGCCCCAGCTTCAGCATCTGCTGCCCCGACCCGGCTTCAGCACCTTCCCCCCAAACCCGGCTTCAGCATCTTCCTCCCAGACCCAGCTTCAGCACCTTCCTCCCAAACCCAGCTTCAGCACCTTCCCCCCAAACCCAGCTTCAGCACCTTCCTCCCAAACCCAGCTTCAGCACCTTCCCCCCAGACCCGGCTTCAGCATGTTCCTCCCAAACCCAGCTTCAGCATCTTCCTCCCAGACCCAGCTTCAGCACCTTCCTCCCAAACCCAGCTTCAGCACCTTCCTCCCAGACCCGGCTTCAGCACCTTCCCCCCAAACCCAGCTTCAGCATCTTCCTCCCAAACCCAGCTTCAGCATCTTCCCCCCAAACCCAGCTTCAGCACCTTCCTCCCAGACCCAGCTTCATCATCTTCCTCTCAAACCCAGCTTCAGCATCTTCCTCCCAGACCCAGCTTCAGCATCTTCCTCCCAAACCCAGCTTCAGCACCTTCCTCCCAAACCCGGCTTCAGCACCTTCCTCCCAGACCCAGCTTCAGCACCTTCCTCCCAAACCCGGCTTCAGCACCTTCCCCCCAGACCCGGCTTCAGCACCTTCCTCCCAAACCCAGCTTCAGCATCTTCCTCTCAGACCCAGCTTCAGCATCTTCCTCCCAGACCCAGCTTCAGCATCTTCCTCCCAAACCCAGCTTCAGCACCTTCCCCCCAAACCCAGCTTCAGCACCTTCCTCTCAGACCCAGCTTCAGGGTGCAATGACACAATGGCACCACTGTTATACCTAAAGTTGAGGACTTGTTTAACACCTTAATGGATCAGAACTGAAATCTTTTAATATCCTGTCTCTTAGTGCTTTTAGATTGCTGGAAGGAATGAATTTATAGTGGAATTAGATGCAGAGGGTCACATCCTGCCTGCAGTGCACTTAATGGCAGGTGGTGCTGCCAAGCAAATCCTGTCGATTTAATAATGTCATCAAATATTGTTTCTTTGTTATGCTCCCATAAGATAACATACAAGATAATCTAAAGAAAGCTCTGTCCTTGGTGTTGTTTGTGTTCTGATTTATTTAATTATTTATTTACTTTTGTTGTCTGGACTAAGTAGATGGGAGGAAAGAAAATAACACTAGAGACAGGATGTCCTGAGGCTGCCCAGGCTCAGGGATGAAGGTATGGAGTGAATATATCGAGTAATTCCTGTGCTAATAACAGCAACACAGAAGGACCCCAAACCCTCTGGTCACTGACAGGGAGAGAAGGTTCCCTGTGGGATGCATTAAGGCACAGGGAGAACCCTCATGTGACAATCCCTCCTGATCCCTCCTCTTTTGAAGAGCATGTGGAGGATGGGAGAGGGAAGTCAGCCCTACAGGAACAGTTTCTCCTGGTTTGCTATCGAAACAGCACCTGTACCACACCTCTTTGAGCTGCATGCACTGAACAGAGCTCAAGCAGACACCTGAGGTCAAGGTTTCCTCAGCAAAAAGTCTGCAAGAAAACAGGGAATTCTTCAGCAGCCCTACCCTCTGCTTAGCAGCCTTTCACCATAGCTGTGGCAAGGATGAAGAAAATCCTCATCCTATTCAGAAGAGGCTGCTGGGAAGGACACAGTTACTGATGGCTTTCCAGGCACTGCTGGCTGTGCTCAGAGCTGGTTTCCATTTCACCACCAACCCTCCTGCCAGTGGTGTAAATCCCACTGCCAGGCAGGAGAGGAGAGTGGAATCCCAGCAATAGGGTTGTCTTCACAAACTCTTTTATTTGCAAACATGGAAACTAATCCCAGGTGACACATGCTGCTTCTCAGCCCTGGATCTGTTTCCAGGATTAGTGAGGTAAATGTAAAGCTCACTTAAGCCTGTGCTTTTGTCCTAGAAATTCCATAGCCCTCTCTTTCTACAGTACTTGGCTATAAACCCACACTGAAAAACTGCTTCTATCCATTAATTTTGGCAATATTTTTATTTATTATCCTTCATTTTGAGAGGGAGGATACTCATTGGTCAGAGTGATGATATCCAGTAGAAAAAGAAGACAGCTCTTAGTTAATTTGCACTGCTGATTACCAGTTCACAAATTTGTGTTTCTCGAGCAAGTGTTAAAAGCCTAAATAAACCCACAGAAGACAATTGCAAGGTCTCAAAAGATCTGCAGGGTGTTAGAGGATGCAGGTGCAGAGGTTTCATGTCCTGAGCAGAGCACACCATGTCCCCCTGTGCATAATCCCACTCATGCCTCACCCCAGATCATTTATTGCTCTGCCTCACATCCCCCACAGCTCAAAACAGGGATGATAGTTCCTTTCTAACACCACTGGGAGCCAAGCAAACAAAATCTTACTCTTTATAAGACTTAAATTATTACTGAGAATCTGTGGGAAGAGATGATATATCTTTATTTCACATAGACACTTGCTAAGGCTGTGAGAGCCTTCTGGGGCAGGGAGCAAAGCTGCTGGAGCTGCTGGAATTCCCCAGCAATTTCCATTCCAGAAACCCTGATTTATTTTCTGCACAACTTGAACATCAAGGGATGCAGTTCTGCACCTCCATAAAGAACACAAACCTGAACCACACGACCACAGCTGATGTCCCTCAGCACAGGAAAGTGGAGTTCAGGGATCAAACTGCACCCTGTGTGCTCTGGGAATTGATTCCTGCCTTCCCACACCTCACATCAGAGCCCCAGCTGCAGACTGTGGCTTCTTCTGAGCTGATACAGCTCCAGTTGCAATTAATTTCCCTAATATGAATAAATAACACTCATTACAAGATATGATTCTATCCTTGCTCTTTCATGTCTCAGGTGGATGCTCCAAGCATCCAATTTGTCTGCTGGGTTTGTGTTTTTCACTTTGAAAGGAAGTGAAGGAAAAAGAAAACCATTTGTAGGAAGGGAAAACCATTTCCCATCATTAGTTCAAGCATCTTGTTTCTACTGTACAGTGCCTGCCCCAAACACAGCTCCTTTTCTGTAAGTCCATCCTGCTTGAACACTTCTTTACAATCAGTATTTGATCATATGTTTGATTCCTCCCTGTAGCAAATTTCACCCCACAGTCTCACCAAAGGGAATTGAGTGAAATTTGTTAGCAATGTGTCCGTGTAAAATTTGGAAAATAAAATTCCATCCTCACCTGTTTTTTACACTGCAGTAACCTCACATGAAAATCAGATCTTTGCTGCTCAAAGTTTATCGGTTCCTGTTGCTTTTCTTTCCCCTTTCCTCTAAGTCCCATTTTGCAGTGACTCCAATGACTGTGGAATCATTTCTCTGGAACATGATGTGATATTTGTCTGATGATATAATGATAACTCTGAGATCTGCACTGTGGGCACTTCTGCACCTTTAGCAAGTAGATACAGGGATGATAAGCTAAAATCCAAGTACTTATTCATGCAATTAACTCCACTGAGCTCAGCAGGCTCGCTCAGGTCTGAGACTACTTGAGTGTGTGACTGGCTACAGGACTGGGATCCAGTAGCTCCCAGTAGAGAATTATAAAACAGAAGAAACAAACGACTTCAGCAACCAAAAAGGTATTTTTTCTCTCTACATCAGTGTGGCAAATCCTGGCTGGTGCGTGACAGTGACTCCAGGTTCTGGGACAGGGACAGAGAGCAGAGCAAGGCACAGAGCCACAAGGTCCTGCTGCACTCTGGGATCATCAGCAAGTCCTCCCATGGACAAGGAGAGACCATTTTAAACCCCAGCCCCAGACTAGCACAGTCTGATCCTGCTCTTGTTGATTGCCTCCGTGAGTTACTGTAATAGAGATAAATAATAACAGCAACAACGTGTGAACAGAGAGCTGATTAAAGCTCACACGAGCGCTCTGCTGTAAATGCAGATGCCATTAAAAATGTCAAAATGATACAGAGACTTTAACCAGACCATCAATAAGGAAAGCAACCTGAGAGAGGTGATGTCAGGGAGGTACAAATGCTCCCCTTAGCAGCATGTGGGGATGTCAATACCGTGAGGGATGAGGCTGAAACAGCCTCTGTTCTCCTGGGAGATGCTACATTGAAGGGAACTGCCATATTTCAGGTACGTGCCCACATTCCCTGGCAAACTTGCTAACTTCCTCACTTTTTCACCTTCAGAAATATGGCTGGAGATGAGAAGTCAGCAGTAAAAATGAATGTGGCTCTGCAAGGGATGAGGCTGGGTGCCCAAGCACAACCACACTGGTGTGCACAGGGTGCTGTGACAGGGGAGTGGTTCTCTCCTCAGAGCAGCACCAGGGGTTTTCCTCCTATTGCCATCCCCACTCCCACACTGAAACCTCAATTCCTTCCTGAAATGAGGGCTAATTCCTGCAGGCTCTGCAAATAGAATCATCAAATCCTACAATCCGTAAGGTTGGAAAAGACCTCCAAGGTCACCAAGTCCAACTTTCAACTGAGCATCCCTGTGCCTACTAAACCATACAATGAAATGCCACTTCTGCTTGTTTTTGAACCCTTCTGGGGGTGGTGATTCCACTGCTTCACTCCTGCAGTGAAGAATTGTTTCTGCTGTGGTGGTGCATGGCACCCTGCTGGCAGCTGTGTCCTGGTGAATACACCTCCAGGACACAGGGAAGCACTGCTGAGCTCCCCGGGGGCTGCTTATCCCTGGAGGGATGATGAGGAAATTCCTGTGTTCTGGGGCAGTAGAGACACCCAGTACCCAGTGCAGCAGCACAAGTCAGGCACAATGAAGCAAACACAGGAGTTTGAAAAGGTAACAGATTAACTAAAGGTCTCCCAAGGAAGGGGTGGCATTTATGGAGTGACTTATCCCAAGGAGAGAGAGTCAAGAGTGCTATTCCAGAGCTTTTCCATCACTGCACACACTATTCATATGAAAACAGCATC